CAGTGACCCGGGGACACGTGATCCCCTTTTGCGGCCTTCTGACAAGCCAAATCCAGGGGGAAGCCGGATTCACTTAACCACCGTGTAACTAACTTAACATCTGGATTGATTCACTTAGTAGCTACGGCAAGAAAAGTCGTAAAATGGGGCAAAATCCATTTAACAAATGTGTCCCTCAGTAACAGAACTTTTGGGCTCCATTGTGGTCGTTAAGTCAAGGACTACCTGTGTTGTTGTTAGTTGCGAAGTCGTGTCTGACCCCTCGCGACCCCATGGACAACGTTCCTCCAGGCCTTCCTGTCCTCTGCCATCTTCTGGAGTCCATTGAAGCTCACGCCTACTGCTTCAGTGACTCAATCCAGCCACCTCATTCTCTGTCCTCCCCTTCTTCTATTGCCCTCCATCTTTTCCAGCATTAGGCTCTCCTCCAGTGAGTCCTTCCTTTTCATTAGGTGGCCAAAGTACTTGAGTTTCAGCTTCAGGATCTGGCCTTCTAAAGAGCAGTCGGGGTTGATCTCCTCTAGGACTGACCGGTTTGATCGCCTTGCGGTCCAGGGGACTCGCAGGAGTCTTCTCCAGCACCGTAGTTCAAAGGCCTCAATTCTTGGGCGCTCAGCCTTTCTTATGGTCCAACTTTCACAGCCATACATTGCAACTGGGAAAACCATGGCCTTGACTATGCATACTTTTGTTGGCAGGGTGATGTCTCTGCTTTTTAGTATGCTGTCTAGATTTGCCATAGCTTTGGACCAAAATTATTTCTAAGGCAGCTTTCTGTGCCATTCGCGAACCACAGTCCTGGTGCCTTCACAAAGCTTGCTTGTCAACGCCTCTCTGCTTTTGCATTTCTTTTTTTTAAAAAACCCTAACGACAAGACACAAACGGACGAATACGTACCGCAGACGAAACAGGTCGTCTTCAAAACCTCTTCTTTCTTCTGCTTTTCGCTTCTGAGGTCTGCAAACGTATCGATGATGACTCCAAAGATCAGGTTCAGAACGATAATGATGACGATGAAATAAAACAGGAGGTCATAAACCACCCGAGCAGCAAACAGCGGCTCCTGAAAAGAAACATTTTTTTACGCGACGTCCAATTTTAACCCAATTCAATGAAAATAAAGGGAGTTCTCGACTTACAACAGTTCCTTTAGCGACCCTTCGAAGTTACAACGGCACTGAATAAAGGGACTTATGACCGTTTTTCACACTTAGGACCGTTGCGGCATCTCCACATGATCAAAATTCAGAGCCTTGGCAACTGACTCATAGTTATGACGGTGGCAATGTCCCAGAGTCACGTGATCCTTCTGACCAGCAAAGTTAAGGGGGAAGGCAGCTTCACTTAACAATCGGGTTACTAATTTAACAACTGCAGTGGTTCACTTAAAAAAAGTGACAAGGGAAGTCGTAAAACTGGGCAAACAGTTGAAAGGCTGCTTACGTTTCAGATTCAAAATTCTAACGTTTGGGGCACTGCTATGAGTCAATTAACAACTCTGCCAAAAATGGTCATAAAAAATGGGGCAAAATTCACTTCGCAAATGTCTCCCTTAGCAACAGAAATGTTGGGCTCAGTTCTGGTCGTAAGTCCGGGACCCCCTGTATATACCAAGCCAATGAAACACTCACCTCTTTGGATGGCTTCCGAAGAACGTCCCCCACTCCTCCACCATTTCTCAGTCCTTGGTTCAACACGGTCACGATACACATCAGCAAAGTGTCACAAGTCCTCTCAATCCCATCCTCATCGCTGTCTTCACCTATGGATATCGTAAGGGCACTTCAATCAACCAATCAGAGTGGAGCTGGAAGGGACCTCGGAGGTCTTCAAGTCCAACCCCCTGCTCAAGCAGGAGACCCTATACAAGGGGTAGGCAACCTTGGCTCTTTTATGACTGGTGGACTTCAACTCCCAGAATTCCTGAGCCAGCCATGCTGAGGGGAAAGGGAGAGGTTTCCAAGCTGAGCCATGCTGGCTCAGGAATTCTGGGAGTTGAAGTCCACGAGTCATGAGGGGACCATAGTTCCCCCATGCTGGCTCAGGAATTCTGGGAGTTGAAGTCCACCAGTCATAAAAGAGCCAAGGTCGCCTACCCCTGCCCTATACCATGTCAGACAAATGGCAGTCCAGTCCCTTCTTTAAAATCTCCAGTGTTGCAGGAACGGTTGCTGGAATTGGGTATGTCAAGTCTAGAAAAAAGAAGGACTAGGGGTGACATGAAAGCAGTGTTCCAATATCTCAGGGGTTGGCACAAAGAAGATAGGGTTAACTTATTTTCCAAAGCACCTGAGGGCAGGACAAAAAGCAAAGGGTGGAAACTAATCATGGAGAGAAGCAACCTGGAACTAAGGAGAAATTTCCTGACAGTGAGAATAATTAATCAGCGGAGCGGCTTGCCTCCAGAAGTTGTGGGTGCTCCATCACTGGAGGTTTTAAAGAAGAGACTGGACAGCCATTTGTCTGCAATGGTATAAGGTCTTCTGCCTGAGCAGGGGGTTGGACTAGAAGATCTCCGAGGTCTCTTCCGATTCTGTTATTCTGTATTCTGTAGTACACTGGGACTTCACTTTACTACATCTCCGTGCAAATGGCTTTGCATGCAAATAACCTAATTTCTGCAATGGCATCACCAATTTTATCCTCCATAATGGACACCCCCTTCCCCAAGCTATTTTATCAATCACTTGTTTCACTATAGTTGGATAACGACAATATTTGTCTTAAACATGAGTCAGGGTGAGTGAAGAGCAGAGGAAAAGAGAGGAGAGCAGAGGAGGGGAGGGGAAGGGAGGGAGAGAAGGGAAGAGAAGAGAAGAGAAGAGAAGAGAAGAGAGGAGAGGAGAGAAGAGAAGAGAAGAGAAGAGAAGAGAAGAGAAGAGAAGAGAAGAGAAGAGAAGAGAAGAGAAGAGAAGAGAAGAGAAGAGAAGAGAGATGGGGGGAACACATATCAGAGCAATTATCAAATGGATAATATTTCTTTCTGATCTCTAAGTCAGTACAGGTAATCCTTGACTTACAATGGTTTGTTTAACGACCGTTAGAAGTTACAGCAGCATTGTAAAAAGTGACTTTACACCCTTTTTCACACTTACAACCATTGGGGCGTCCCCATCATCATGTGATCAAAATTCAGATGCTTGGCAACTGGCATGTACTTATGATGGTTGCAGCCTCCTGGGGGGGGTGTCACCTGACCCCCTTTTGCAACCTTCTGACAAGCCAAGTCCATGGGGGCAGCCAGATTCACTTAGCAACCGGGTTAGTAACTTAGCAACGGCAGTGATTCACTTAACAACTGTGGCAAGAAAGATCGTGCAATGGGGCAAAAGTCACTTAACAAACGTCTCCCTTGGCAACAGAAACTTCGGACTCAGTTGGAGTCGTAAGTCGAGGACTCCCTGCAGTGGAAATAATTCATTTGGGAGAAAGGCAAAATATTTTATAAGCGTCCCACTAACCTGATTTGATGGTTGGTACTGCAGCACTGCAGTTCTCTATTGAGCAGGTTTCCACCATTGTTGTTAAGCTTGTGGTAGAGATGGTGCTGCTGTCTGATATGTCAACAAAGACAACAACAGTAACAAGGACATGGAAAATCATGAGGCCTATTCACACTTTGAAAGTAGAAGTGAATGTTTTATGAAGTCAACCACCCCTGTTTGCCAATCATTCAATTATCCCCTCATTTCTCAGGCTTCGGCATGAATTTGAAAGAAAAAAACCCACGTTTGGGTGATTTAAGGAATCAATTGACTGAAGTTAATGTCACTCTTAGACCCGTTGCCCTTAATTTTTTTTTTTTTTAGGGCCTTCAAAATGGTGAGAGTTGGAGGTTTCAGGGATAATATGGATTATTATTATGGATAAGCAGCCCTGAGTCGCTCGATAGTAAGATGGACGGCACAGAAAATTTACTGAATAAATAAATAATAGAGAAGGGTCATCCAGATTATTTTTGAAGCATGCACTGCCCTGCTATGCATTATTACGATAAATATTAAATGCTGGCCATTTCATCTTTGAGTTTCAAACTTGTTCCCTCAAACGTAATAAATTCCACGTTTGTGTACGTTCCAAAGTTCTGTAAAAATTCAGCAGATCAATTTCCTTCCTTACTTTATTAATTTGTACTGGTTATTCTCCATTTTCAATTCCCCTAGTACAGGGGTAGGCAACCTTGGCTCTTTTATGACTGGTGGACTTCAACTCCCAGAATTCCTGAGCCAGCATGGGGAAAATATGGCCCCCTCATGACTGGTGGACTTCAACTCCCAGAATTCCTGAGCCAGCATGGGGGAAATATGGCCCCCTCATGACTGGTGGACTTCAACTCCCAGAATTCCTGAGCCAGCATGGGGGAAATATGGCCCCCTCATGACTGGTGGACTTCAACTCCCAGAATTCCTGAGCCAGCATGGGGGAAATATGGCCCCCTCATGACTCGTGGACTTCAACTCCCAGAATTCCTGAGCCAGCGTGGCTCAGCTTGGAAACCTCTCCCTTTCCCCTCAGCACGGCTGGCTCAGGAATTCTGGGAGTTGAAGTCCACGAGTCATAAAAGAGCCAAGGTTGCCCACCCCTGACCTAGTAGCCAAGATTTAAATGTCATCTGCACACCGCTCTCCCAAATATAGCTAGTCATTTCATTTAGTGACCAAAGTTACAACAGTACTGGAAAAAGGGACTTATAACCGTTTTCCACACTTACGACCGTTGCAGTATCCACAGGGTCACGTGATTTACATTCGGATGCTTGGCGCCTGACTCACATTTATGACGGTTGCAGTGTCCTGGGATCACATGATCCCCTTTTGAGACCTTCTGACAAGCAAAGTTAATGGGGAAGCCAGATTCACTTAACAACCGTGTTGCCAACTTCACAACTGCAGTGTTTCACTTAAACGCCGGCAAGAAAAGTCGTAAAATGGGACAAAACTGATGTTAAAAACTATCTCGCTCATCAACATAAATTTTGGGCTCAATCATGGTGCTAAATTGAGGACTACTGTACCTAATTTCCTTTCTTACTTTATTACTATTATTATTATTACTATTATTATTATTATTATTATTATTATTATTATTATTATTATTACTATTATTAACTTGTATTAGGTATTCACTATTTTTGATTTACCTTGTAGCAAGGATTTAAATAACATCTGCACACAGATTTCCCAAATATGTATCTCTTCTTAAAGCTAGAAGCTTTAAATCCAAATCTTCAACTATGCAAAACTAATTGAATTTTAAAGCCTTTTGAATGTTTGCTCTGGCAGAGGGGAAATCTGCAGTTCAATTACTATCAAGGAAGACAAAAGAACTAAATCAAAATTCTACTGAAGCACAAAGCTGTAATGGAAACAAAAACATCAGTGTTTCATATTTACACTATATCACAGGCTTTCGTTGCAGCTTCTGCTTAAATTAAAGAACTGACATCAAATCACTTCATCCACTTAAGAGGGGAAATTATTCAGAGCTACAAACTGTCAAATATTAGAATAATATCAGTTTATTTAAAGCATGACATTACTTTAAAAAAAAACAACAGGCCGACACGGAGAACATTGTGTTAAGGTGCTGCTCTTTTGAATTTTGAACATTTAAACATTTCCAAGGTTGAAAATGCAGTTTGATGCTCATTTGCGAATAACGTGCAGAGTGGAATAAAATATTAAGTTCACTTTCCCAAAATGACTAAGCAATTAATAATAATAATAATAATAATAATAATAATAATAATAATAATAATAAAGTTGGAAGGGACCTTGGAGGTCATCTGGTCCAACCCCCTGCTCAGGCAGGAAACCCTATACCATTTCAGACAAATGGCTGTCCAGTCTCTTCTTAAAAACTTCCAGTGTTGGAGCATTCACAGCTTCTGGAGGCAGGTTGTTCCACTGGTTAATTGTTCTAACTGTCAGGAAGTTTCTCCTTAGTTCTAGGTTGCTTCTCTCCTTGATTAGTTTCCATCCGTGGCTTCTCGTCCTGCCTTCAGGTGCCTTGGAAAATAGCTTGACTCCCTCTTCTTTGGGGCAGCCCCTGAGATACTGGAACACTGCTATCATGTCCCCCCTCGTCCTTCTCTTCATTAAACTAGACATACCCAATTCCAGCAGCCTTTCCTTATATGTTTTAGCCTCCAGCCCCCTAATCATCTTTGTTGCTCTTCTCTGTACTCTTTCTAGAGTCTCAGCATGCATCAGCTTTATTACATTAAATATTTCTTTGGCCGCGAGGATTGGGCAGGATTTATCTACGTTGCAGCGAAGGTCCCAAAGGTGCTTTTTCAAGAGGCAACTGGATTTTCTTGATTTTCTTTGAAGACATTTCGCTTCTCATCCAAGAAGCTTCTTCAGCTCTGACTGGATGGTGGGGAATGGAAGGATTTATATTCTTTGCATTCTTTTAGAGAGTCATTGAGGCCAGCTGTCCACAAGGAATATTCCCCACCATCCAGTCAGAGCTGAAGAAGCTTTTTGGATGAGAAGCAAAACATCTTCAAAGAAAAACAAGGAAGTCCAGTTGCCTCCTGAAAAAGCACCTTTGACTGAGAATTTCCACAGACATGTTACAGTGAAGGGTTTGTAGGGCTAAATCTGGCAAAAAGATAAGTTTGAAATAGTCATGAAACATTCTTAGGGATTGTCTATGGGGATTCTCAATCATCCAGGTCATGGTTGTCCCATAGGTGCTTTTTCAAGAGGCAACTAACTGGACTTTCTTCGGGTTTTTTTGAAGACGTTTCGCTTCTCATCCAAGAAGCTTCTTCAGTTCTGACTTCAGCTCAGCTCCTTCCATTCCCCACCATTCAGTCAGAGCTGAATGTCCCCCCCAAAAAATGGAAATGGAAAATGGAATTTGTTGAAATATCGTTCTATGCTTCAAGCTGTACCTGTAATGGAGGTTTTATTTTTCAGTCTTTCCACGTCCATGATGAAGTCATCCTTCAGAAACAAGAACCCAACAATGGAGAAGAGATAGACCAGGATGAGAGCGAGGACAGCTGTCAGGATAATGGAGCGCCCATTCCGCGTGACACTTTTGATGACATTCAGCAAAGTCTCCTCTCGGTATACCAAGTCAAATAACTGGAGAAGGTAATAAGCAAGAAGGAAGGCAATTAATCTCATAAATCACATTGGGATTGGCAGACATTCGCCCCCTGAATTCAAGTAATGGTCTATATGCATGACAGAATTTTCAAGAGGTGCCCCCAAAAAACAAACATTAGTTTCTTCTCCGACAAGAAATAAAAAACTATATACTCACCAAGAAGCTGTAAAAAAATTCATGCACACAGAGGCCCAGCATGCAGACCAAAACATAGGCCACGTGGTAGAGAAAAGCCATGTCCATGATGACGGCTCGGTATCCACGGGTGAACGTCCCACGGTTCCCAACGAAGCTCACCAAAAATACAATCTTGTTGCAAAGCTGCACAAAAAAAAAAAAATACAATCTTATTACAAAGGTGGAGAGAAGCAATATAGACAAGAGCTCTCAAGACCTACGATGCTATCCCCAGGGCTTGCATTTATCTTCTGTCAGCCTGAGTCCCCCATAGGTAACAAGAATGTCTCAACAAAATGTGTTTCTACAAAATTAAAGCACCCATAGATAGGCAGGGCAAATAGAAACAACCACTAGGCCCAAGTTATATTTTTGATTTATGTGACATAATACCAGAATACACTGTGAATAACAAAGTTAGTTAGTTTATGAGATGGATGGTGTGGAAATTTAATTGGGCAGGTGGGTGGGTGGACGGATAGACAGATAAATGATAATGATGGATAAGATAGATAGATAGATAGATAGATAGATAGATAGATAGATAGATAGATAGATAGATAGATAGATAGATAGATAGATAGATAGATAGACAGATAGAAATTAGATAGATAGATAGATAGATAGATAGATAGATAGATAGATAGATAGATAGAGAAATTAGATAGATAGAAATTAGATGATAGATAGATAGATAGATAGATAGATAGATAGATAGATAGATAGATATAGATAGATAGATAGATAGATAGATAGATAGATAGATAGATAGATGATAGATAGATAGATAGATAGATACAGACGACAGACTAGATAGAGGATAGAGGATAAATGTTAGATAGATAGACAGACAGACAGACAGACAGACAGACAGACAGACAGACAGACAGACAGACTAGATAGATCATAGACAGAGGATAAATGTTAGACAGACAGACAGACAGACAGACAGACAGACAGACAGACAGACAGACAGACAGATTAGATAGATGATAGACAGAGGATAGATGTTAGATAGATGATATAAATGATAGATGATAGATGGCAGCTAGATAGCTAGATAGCCAGATAAATAGATAGAAGATAGATAGATAGATAGATAGATAGATAGATAGATAGATAGATGATAAATTAGATAGATGGCAGACGATAGATGAGTGAAAGAGAGAGATAGGAGATAGGTAGAGCTCAAAAAACAGTGTTCAATCTTAGCTTTCTAATTGTGATAAGCTCTATTTTGGTGAATTTCCATCATGGATAGGTATCTGGTTCCAAATGACAAGCAATGCCATCACAAAATACACACACGCATGCATAGACACATACCTATAATTCATTCATATCCTGCTTTTCTTTCAAAATATGATCTACCAGGTCTGCTAAACCTATTATTTTCATGCTGTACAAACCCCACCGCAGCAAAAGTAAAAGATGTCCTTGCAGCCGAGGCTGAGGAATTCTGGGAGTTGAAGTCCACAAGTCATAAAAGGGCCAAGTTTGAAGACCCCCTGTGGTAGAAGTTGTAGAAAGTCTTACAGAAACCACCACAGCTGATGAGTCATTGTTTCCAGGGAGATAGTAATTCCACGCTTTCTCTCTAGCTTTATGTTCATTCGTGAATTGCAGAATGAGTACTTAAGTACTTACGTTAGCGGCACCCAGGAGAATCAGCGTGGGCCCCAAACCAATGGTATATATTGACCTGAGCATAACCGAGACCAAAAACGGGCGGATTCCAACAGGTTTGGGGAAAACGAAAAGGAGAGACGTGCAGATGGCGACAGCTATCCAGAGGACGATGGAAAATAACGGAGAGAGGATGCCTAGATTGAAGAAGAGGCATCGTGATATTTTTAGAACATTAAGAACCACGTTCTTGAATTAAACCAGTTGCGATTAAATCAAATCAAACTAAATCCTGCGGGGGGGGGGGGAAAGGGACACGAATACTTTCATTAAATGGTTAACCTATCAATATGGTTAAATAGAAGTGAAGGACTTCCTGTAGAAAAAAGGAACAAATTAAGTTGGTTGCCGTGGTTGATTTGGTGAACTCTTAAGTCAAGGCCTTGACTTACAATTTGCTTAGCAACCGTTCAGCGTTACAAGGGCACTGAAAAAAAAAGTCACTAACGCTCAGTCCTCACACTTACGGCCATTGCAGCATCTCCACAGTCATATGATCAAAATTTGGGCACTTGGCAACTGGGATGTATTTACTACGGTTGCAGAAAACCAAGGTCACGTGATCCCCATTTGTGGTCTGGCCAATCAGCTCCTGACAAGTATCTAGTTAAGGACGCGAGGATTTCAATTCCCAGAATTCCTCCAGCCAGCATGAGATTCTGGGAGTTGAAGTCCATGTGTCTTAAAAGTTGCCAAGGTTGGGAAAGCCAGATTTAGAGAATGGGTATGTGAATAGGCTTGAATTATGGAATATTCTACCCAGAGTTGAAATTTGGTTGCTGAAGGGGATAAATATGTTATGAATAAATGCATTTAAAGAATGTTTGCGGGGATGAATGTGCTAGTTGAATACGTGGGTCTACGGGTAGATTTGCATTCAGGTGACGCCATACTGCTGGCTGAGAATCTGAAGGGTTTTCAGCAAATGATAGATTGTATTGTGTACCGAGAAGCACGGATGCGAAAAAGAATATATCAAAAGGAAAGGGAGATGTGTTTGACAGGGGAAAAAAAAAAGGACTGAAGATTGCAGGTTATATAAAAAGTGACAAAATGTCCAGTAAAGAGATGAATTTGTACACCTTGGTAGAAAGTTTCCCTAAAGCCATGGAAATTGTCAGGCACAAAGTATCGGGTCCACACGGGAAGGGCTGATTATGCTGATTTATTGCTAAAAGCCTACGCGCAGGAATCTTCTCAAATAACAGAGATCACCTGCTTGGAGTTAGATAAGGAACAACTGAATTCATGGGGAATTGAGCTTAGTCTGCTTGTGGCTACGTAGGGATTCTAGGCTGATTCCTCTTTTAACTCTGCCTCCCTGTTCTGTCACTCCTCTCCTATAGAAATGGAATGGATTCTGGCCAACTTGTTTACAAAATTCACTTATTATGGGATTCTAGGCCGATTCCTCCTTTAACTCCGCTTCCACGTTCTGCCACTCCTTCTCCTATAGAAATGGAATGGATTCTGGCCAACTTGTTTAAAAACTTCACTTATTATGGGATTCTAGGCCGATTCCTCCTTTAACCCCACCTCCACATCCTGCCACTCCTTCTCCTACAGAAATGGAATGGATTCTGGCCAACTTGTTTAAAAAATTTACTTGTTATAATTGGAATTTGGCGGATAATTGGGACAGATGGATCCGGACCCAATTAGATGGTCAAGCAATGGGGTCACATCCCTGCTACGTTGCATACAGAAATCTCATGCCATGTCAGATGTCCGTCTGATGGATGGATCTACACACCTTGTGGTCTAAGGTTAGGGCTGTTAGCATTCCAAGATTGCAGTTGTGTAATAGGCAATCCCAGTCTTGCAATTCTGCAATTTCAAGGGCACATGACATGAGCAAAAAACAGCTCCTGAATTAGAGAGAGCCTAGAAGACACACCAAATGAGCATATGACAAATCAAATGCCCTGGCCAATCTGATCATCTGGAAAGCACATGTTGTCTATGTTAGAAGCCCAGGATTCTCTAAGTGAAAATGAAAAGTGAAGGTTACATCTAGGAAAATGGCCTAATTGGGCTTTTAAATAGGGATAGTCAGACCAGCCATAACTGGGCCATGTGCAATTCACATGTTTCTGTTAACAAGCATTGTTCCACACCCCACAGAGTTGTGGCTGGGTTTTTTTTTCTCTACACAAAAGAGCATGACTTCTCTTTAATAATGGAGAGTCTTGAGGTTTTTAAAAATGGACTTGTTCCTTCTCAAGTAAATGGAGGACTGCCTTTAAAGCTGTTGAAGTTCTAGGTGGATGCTGCTTTTCCTGCTTGCATGACGTGAATCATCCGGTCATTTCTTCTCCCAGACATTTAATTTTTCTTTACATGTTTTCAGCATGTGATATGATGACTGGACTTGTCATGCGTTTGCCTTTCTTTAGAGTTTGCCCAGCTGGCAGGAAACAGGTCAGGAAATTTTCCTTTCCTTTCCTTTCCTTTCCTCCCCTTCTCCTTTCCTTTCCTCTCTTTTCCTTTCCTCCCCTTCTCCTCTCCTTTCCTTTCCTCTCCTCTCCTTTCGTTTCTTTTCTTTCTCCTTTCCTTTCCTCCCCTTCGTCCCCCTTTCGTTTCCTTTCCTTTCGTTTCCTTTTCTTTCCTTCCCTTTCCTTTCCTTCTTCTTTTATCTTTCTTTTCCTTTCTTTCCCCCCTACTCCTACTACTTCTTTCTCTTTTCCCCCTGTAGTTGCAAGAGTAAAACATGGGCCAGTAAAACATGACCACATATAGAAAAGAAGAGAGCAACCATCTACTTCAAGGGAGAAACCAATTTTTCCAGATCTGTTCCATTAGCAGTGTTCCACAGAGGCCAAACTTTCCATTTTTTGTTTCCAAATTCTAATATTCCACCCATAGAATTCTTCTAAGGCAGACATGTCAAACACAAGGCCCGGGGGCCGGATGTGGCCCGCGAAGTGGATTCATGTGGCCCGCGAAGCCATCCTGGAAACAGTGAGGGAACGGTCCCCTCCGCCTTGGCCCAGGCCCAGGCTGGCCGGCTGGGAGTCAATGTACAATTTTGTGGTGGCCATCTACGCTGAAAGGCATTCAGTCTTAGCTCCACAAGGCCGTCTAGAAACAGCGAGGAACCAGCCCCTGCCGTGTCAGCCCCGCCCCCTGTGTGCATGCTGGGGAGGTGTCACCCTTTGTGAGGAATGAAGAAATGGACCATGCCTTGGCACTTGCCCTGGTCCCCCCCCTTCTGCCAGAGACCCTCAGATCTGTCCCACTCCTGCCCAGGCCCCCACAGGCATCCTTGACGCGAACGATGTAGAGATGGCCATGCCCACCCCAGTAGACCACACCGACTCCATCCATGCCCACCCAGTAGGCCGCACCCACCCTGGCCACACCCACCTGCCCCCCCCAAGGGCAACCGCAATGTTGATGCGGCCCTCAATGAAATTGAGTTTGACACCCCTGTTCTAAGGGAACTGTTTCCCCCAGCCAGCTCCAGCCAAAAAATAAAAAAAATATTGTCCGTTTCGAAGATGTCCCTGACAACAGATGACTTACGAATAAGTTGGCGGTGGGCTTCTACTATTGCTAGCAACGGAAAGATCTGAGTTTTGAAACGTTATAACCCAAGCAATATACCTTCATCGCCATCATCTCCAAACGGATAGAAGAGGGCGACGGCTAGATTGATGAAAACGGCCAGGTTGAACGATATGCTTCCCCAGAGAGAAATTTGCCGAGAGAACCAAAATAATGCTGGATTATCTAGGAAGGAAACGAAGAGCAATTATTGTTCGTCTCAACAAAAATGATTGTTCATCAGAAAGCAGCACCTTTGGGGGAAGGGTTGATGTAACATTCTCCAGGCGTGGTGGGTGCTCCATCACCAGAGACTTTCAAAAAGACTAGACAACCATTTCTCCGAAATGGTACGGGGTCTCCTGCTCGAGCAGGAGGTTAGACTAGAAGACCTCCAAGGTCCCTACCAGCTCTGTTTTTTTCTGTCCTGTTTTAAGTCGTGGTATCTTCCGATTAAAATTTTATCTGTTGCTATTACATCTTCAAGCAATGCCACATTATCAAGAATACAGGAGTGAATTATTGACACTAAAGAATGAAGTGAAGCATACAGGAGTGGCCAAAATTGTGGAAACCTTTGGGGAAAAGTGTATTTTTGAGGTTGGATGGCTAATAACACCACTTTTTGTTCTGGCATTACTGTTTACCCATATCTATTTAATATCCTTTTTTTTGTTAGAATAACTTTCTTCCTGTAAAGCTGTTGATTAGTCCCCAACAGGACTTGCTGCTCTATCTAAAAAAAAACAAACCTCAAATGAAGGTGTTAAAAATAATAGAAATAAGTTATATATCAGGGGATACTTGAGCAAATCCTGGCTTAATATTACTTCATAGACTGATAATCTCATAGTTCAATCCCATATTTGTATAAATATGGCCACTAGGGTGTATGGCCACAAAAACCCAAAAGTGCTTTTCTCCAAGTGGCAACTGGTCTTTCTTGATTTTTCTTCTCATCCAAAAAGTGAATTCTTTCTTTTCAAAAGACTGAAAAGAGTAGAAATCCTTTCCATTCCTCACCAGTTTTTTTAGAACTGAAGAAGCTTCTTGTATGAGAAGCGAAACATCTTTGAGAAAAATCAAGAAAGACCAGTTGACATTTGGAGAAAAGCAGTTTTGGGACAACTATGACTTGGATGACTGAGAATCTCCATAGACACGGCCACGAAAAGACTAGGTTATATAGCAGTAATACATATAGTAGTGGCCAAAATTGTGGAAACCTTTTGGGAAAAGTGAATTTTTGAGGTTTGATGGCTAATAACACCACTTTTTTCTTGGAGTAGTACCATAAAATTATATATCAATGGAAAGATAATTTAATCAAGAATGTAATGCAACAAAGTTTGTTCAATTATCTGTATTGTATTCTATGAAAAGTTATAGCCAAATAACCAGAAAAAGGAAGCACAACTTGCTTAGATTGATATCAGGTAGCTTTCCTTCATCTGATTGTAGCCAATGAGCAGGAGTGTTGAGAGAGCCAATCAGGTGTCATCTTGTTTTGGCCATGAGTCAATCAGATCACAGTAGGATTCGGTGATTGATGTCATGTGTTGAAGCTGAGAGGAGGACATGTGTCAGTGTGTGATGTGATCGCTATCAAGTCGGTTGGGTTTTTTTGTGTTCTTTCATTTAGTGAGCTTGTGAAACGTAATAAAATTAAAGGAATGGTGCAAAGAGTTGACTAGTCGCCCAGAAAGCGATGTAAAATAGTATTATTAAGTGAACAAGGCTACAGTTACAAAGAAATTAGAAGAAAAATGGGTGTAAACTTAACCAAAGGTGGCATTTCTACTGTACACTTTTCCCAAAAGGTTTCCACCATTTTGGCCACTACTAAGTAACTTTTTTAAAAAGATGGTTTGCTCGACTTGTTTGGAAAAAGAAAACATGGGTTGGATTCTAATTTATAGATAGCCTAAGGTTTGACATCAAATCTACATTGATCCCTTGTTTTAATATGGCCACCCATTTTTTGACTTGTTATTCTACGTTTTATCTTGTTTTTTATGGTTAATAAATGGATAAAGCAGAACCTTTACAAAAGGACATTCCCCAAGGTTAGAGTCTAGACCAGGGGTAGGCAAGCTTGGCTCTTTTATGGCTTGTGGACTTCAACTCCCAGAATTCCTGAGCCAGCCATGCTGAGGGGAAAGAGAGAAGTTTTCAAGCTGAGCCATGCTGGCTCAGGAATTCTGAGAGTTGAAGTTCGCAAGTCATAAAAGAGCCAAGGTTGCCTACCCCTGGACTAGGCAATAGATCTCTTCATTTATTACATTTACATTTACATTTATTACATTTATACCCCGCCCTTCTCCTGGTGGACTCATGGCGGCTCACAGCCAGTTTAAAACCAAACAATCAGTACAATATACAAAATTTAAAATATAGTTAAAAAGAAATATTAATATGGGCCTTTTCTTCCTTTTTTTAAAAGTTATTTAAAAACCAAATTTAAAATACCCCTTAGGCCAGTCCCGCCAGCTGAAATAGCCATGTCTTGAGGGCGCGGCGGAAGGAGGGGAGATCCGGAATCACCCGGATCTCTGGGGGTAGTTCGTTCCAGAGGGTGGGAGCTCCAACAGAGAAGGCTCTCCCCCTGGGGGTCGCCAACCGACACTGTCTGGTTGACGGCACCCTGAGGAGACCCTCTCTGTGGGAGCGTATCGGCCGGTGAGAGGTGATCTGTGGCAGAAGTAACCATCAAACAGACGAACCCTTACAAACCCCGTACTTACTCCTAATTTTTCTCTGCCACTTCATTTCATTATACAGATCCTCGGTCTGCTGGAAAAAGTCGTTTACTTTGCTTCCTTGCTCGTCTCTTTCGGTGGTATTGAACACCCGGCATTTTGATTCGTGAGTGAGGAATTCACAAATGTTCGGCACGGGAAATACTATTTGTTCCATGGTTCTGTCGTGGCGGACAATCTGCAAAGACCCATAACTCACTTGGAGACATATATACCGTTGGGATGTCAACATAAATTATCGTTTTGTGCTTCCGTGGGCACAGCAGAAGTTGAGGAATATTACAGCTGCTGTTCCAATTTGATGCCTGTTCCAGACATGTCAGAACAATGCAATTGGGCAGAGTTTCAGGAACAGGAAAATCTCCTTAATTTTGAGGCATGAGGTATTGGGATAACAGTAGATTAACACCCCTTAAGTGTTCAACATGAAGTTGGCAAACATTCAATTTCAGTTCATATACATTTGTGAGAATTTATGTACGTCCCAGATAGATACGAAGAATTTTTAAGAGAAAGAAAAAACTACTAGGTAATATCTGGAATGAAAGAAGAAGGCTACATTAAAACCAAAAACCGACATGAAAAGCAGATAGAGCTTATTTGTTCATTTACCACGATCTCTGTTGCCTTTCAAAACAAGGGCATAAAAAGTTAAAACTAAGAAGCATAGCCACAAACCTAATCTGTCTGTCTGTCTTTATCACCTATCAATCAGCTATCAATCAATCATGCATCCATCCATCCAATATATGACGCTGGATTCTGTTTAACTTCAGAATGGAATCTCTTCATGAACAGCTGCACATTGTGATACAGTGCAGAAAGTGTGACATTAAAGATTTCGGAAATATGAAACTTTCCCGATTTTTAGGGAATAAACATTATTTATGACTGAATTTGTAAGCAAACAGTGCTGAGCCAGTCTTTGAGTAAAATTTGGTAGAAAACCTGAGGCTCTCCTAGGACAGGGCTTTTCAACCTTTTCACCCATTGTACCACTTTTAGGATATGGCAACATCAGAGTACCACCAGTCGCCTAGCAAGGTGTCAAAAACTTGATGACCAAAAAAAAAAAAGGAAAAAAGTGATAAAGTACAGGTAGTCCTCAACTTACAACAGTTCACTTAGTGACTCTTAGAAGTTACAATGGCACTGAAAAAAGTGCCCCCCAAGCCACAGCCTAGCAAGACACCTGCCTGCCCGCCCGGTGGCACTCTTCCTCCTGTCCGAGGTTTTCATTGTTGTGAGCATTTCTGTTGAGGATTGGCAGTGGGGGTGGGGTGGGGGGGTGTTTGGTTTTTATTCCCCCATCTGCTGGGTGGTTGCAGCAGGTTTTGGTCACTTCACATGACCCTGGGACACTGTGACCGTCATAAATAAATATGAATCGGTTGCCAAGCATCTGAATGTAAATCACAAGACCCTGGAGGTGCTGCAACATTCCAGCTGATCGGTGCTTCTTCTGGGCTCAGCAGAAGCGTCAGGATCAGTGCTGCTTTCCAGCTGATTGGTGCTTCTTAAGGGCTCAGCAGAAGCACCAGGATCAATGCCAAGGTCCAGCTAGAGCTTGGCGCTGATCCTGGCGCTTCCGCTGAGCCCTGACAGCCCTGCAGCTCCAGCCGTCTCTCGCTCAGGCTTGTGTGGTGCTGCCACCGGTTCAGCTCATTCCCCTCCCCCGCTACCACTTTTCTAGGTCGCGTACCACCTGCCAGGTGCCAATGTACCACAGGTGGTACCCATACCACTGGTTGAAAAGCCCTGTCCTAGGAGTAGGCAGCCTTGGCTCTTTTATGATTGATGGACTTCAACTCCCAGAATTCCTGGCTCAGGAATTCTGGGAGTTGAAGTCCATCAGTCATAAAAGAGCCAAGGTTGCCTACCCCTGTCCTACACCCTTGGCGTAACCTGATGACAATTCCACCTTACAAAGCAACAGAAGGAAGATTCCCTCATGAACTGTCACTCTTATCTCAACAAATCTCATATCTCAGCAGCAGCAGCAGGAGTCCTCCATGAGGTGGAAAGTAGCACGGAAGGCTACAAATATTTTCAGTTCGGCGGGCAAGCGTTTACCTCAATTTGAGCGGTGTGGTTGGCGTAATACTTCAAAGCTTCATCTCCTTCTTCTGGATCTGCCCCAGGCTTCAGCATGTGTTGCAATGCTTTATTGTGACGGGACAACTAAAAGTGAAAAGGAGGGGAGAAATGCTAGAGGTGGCATCTGGGTAGCTTGTAGACAAAAGGCAAAGGACATATTCAGTTCCACTGAATAAAATACAGGCAGTCCTTGGCTTACGACCACAACTGAGCTGAAATTTCTGTTGCTCTTGAGACATTTGTTAAGTGAGTTTTGCCCCATTTTACAACCTTTCTTGTTTCAGTCGTTATCACTGCAGTGGATAAGTTAGCAATCCGGTTGTTAAGTGAATCTGGCTTCCCCATTGACTTTGCTTGTCCGAAGGTCGCAAAAGGGGATCACGTGACCCCTGGGATACTGCGACCGTCATAAATACGAATCACTTGCCGAGCGTCTGAATTTTGATCACACGATCATGAGGATGCTACAAAGGTTGTAGCTGTGAAAAACAGCCATCAGTTACTATTTTTCAATGCCGTTGTAACTTTGAATGGTCACTAAACGAACAGCCGTAAGTCAAGGACCACCGGTATGCAACCGAAGACGATGGGAACCGCTTAACCGTCTTCTGATTCTTTACTAAAATGCATGACTTGTAAACTTGTAATGTTTAAAATCCAGGAGGAAGTGGGTTGTCTGAATCCTTAGTCCATAGTCGTCCATGTCCTAACTAGGATTGGAGAGATGCCAGTTTGAAGAAAGAGACTGCAGAAGATTACAAGTCATGCATTTTAGAAGAAGGAGAAGAAGATGAAGCGATTCCCACTGTATCCCAAGACCTTAAGCAACATCACTTCAGAATCCAGGGCTTGAAATGAACAGCTGAATATCGCAGCATATTAATGATATTTGACCCCCATAAACTAGAAGAGATAACCTTTAATCTTTATTGTCATTTTTTTTACAGCGGGCACACTGGCACACATTAAAAATGAAATTCTTTGCCTGCTCTCAAAAGTGTACCCATACGTAACACACATATAAACATGCTATATACAATGTATATGTGTATGTATGTGTATGTATGTATGTATGTATGTATATTCAAAAACTAAAACACAGATCACTGAAACTGAAGAATTTATTTAAAAACGTAGCTTTCGTCAGCATCTGCTGACATCGTCAGAGTTCTAGCCAAGATTGAGAATCACGTTCTTATAGTCTCTGTAATGCCAATCGTCAGAGTTCTAGCCAGGATTGAGAATCACATTCTTATAGTCTCTGTAACACCAATCGATTGATTCTCAATCCTGGCTAAAACTCTGACGATGTTAGCAGATGCTGACGAAAGCTAAGTTTTTAAATCAATTCTTCAGTCTCGGTGATCTGTGTTTTAGTTTTTTGAATATGAATATACCCGAGACTCGTATCTTCAAGACTATTTTAGATGTATGTATATGTATATGTATGTATAGAAGGTTTGTACTTGAGCTCTCCTCCTATGGAGAAGGGAGGAGAACCATCACAAAACTTCACCATCCCAGGCCCACAGTTGGTTCAGAAGGACACCATGATCAATGATATCAAAAGCCACTGAAGCTTGTATCCCATTTCAAATTCCAAGAGGAAGTGGATTGTCTGAATCCTTCCCAGTAGGTTTCATGTCTAGCCTAGTATGCAACTGATATTGACCATAGTCATCCATGTCCTAACTAGGATCGGAGTAGTGCAGCTATCTTGCTTCTCCTGCTTCTCTCAACGGGTTTTTTTCCCCCCTTTCTCTGGGTCTCCACAATCTCTTTTAGCTTGTTGTTCTCATTTTCACCCCATGCAAGAGACCACAGGCCCCCTTCTTTTGCAGTTCCTTAAACATTCTGGAGCTCACCTTCAACGAATCCCGGCTTCATCAACCTCACTAGATCACCTGTTGAAAGGTAATCTACATGCTATTTTCATGAGCTACACGGTGGCTCATGAATATTCTTGCCATCCTTATCAGCGTTGAGCAAGCCAAGCCAAACCTCTCTTTCCGATTTCATCTGATGTTTAATTAGCTGCTGTCACCCTAACCCCATTATCTTGTCTCATCCAGATGACAACGCCTGGATTATGACAAGTGACAGGCCTTCGCAAGTAATGACACGTGTCAAGAATTTAATCAGTGCAAATGAAGGTTGAAATCCACGAGAGGCTCAGGGCGAGACATTCAAGCAGATGTTGGTTTCCAGTGAAGTCGCAGGCCAGTTTTCAGACCCCAGTAGCTAATTTTAACCGAAGCGGATGCAAGGTTACATCAGACCATTCGGCTATCGGAAGACAAATTTGCATATAAGCAATTATTAGGAAAACTGGCTTCCAGCAATGAGTGGCCAAACCACCCAACCTTTGCTTCAAAAAGGTCTCTTGGGAGATTAAACATTTTCCATCCCTTCTTAAGAACACTTTCTGCAATGTGTGTAATTTCTCCCTCAACAGAGAAAGGCATTTTTTTAGTAAACATATCCCATGGTACAGAGATATTTTTCTGAAGAATTTGTTGAAGGCAACATCTTACACAATGCTTTAAGTAATTTGCAGGGTATCTGGCCAGCTAATTCCACCCCCTTTATTTTACCCCTCTTATTTTATTTTTAAGGACACACCTGGAATACTGCATCCAGTTTTGGTCACCATGTTATAAAAAAGAGGTTGAGATTTTGGAAAGAGTGCAGAGAAGAGCAACAAAGATGATTAGGGGGGGGCAGGAGGCTAAAACATAAGAAGAACGCTTGCAGGAATGGGGTATGCTTAGTTTAATGAAAAGATGCATTGGGGGTGACATGACAGCAGTGTTCCAATATTTGAGGGGCTGCCACAAAGAAGAGGGGGGGGTCAAACTACCAGAAGGCAGGACAAGAAACAATGGATGGAAACTAGTCAAGGAGAAAACCAACCTAGAACTAAGGAGAAATATCCTGACAGTGAGAACAATTAATCAGTGGAACAATTTGCCTCCAGAAGTTGTGGGTGCTCCATCATGGAGGCTTTTAAAAAGAGTCTGGATAACCATTTGTCTGAAATGGTCTAGGGTCTACTGCTTGAGCAAGGGGTTGGACTAGAAGACCTTCAAGGTCCCTTCCAACTCTGTTCTGTATCTACCGTGGAGGTGAAGGTACATGAGCTAAGCCCTCAAAATTGGTTCAGATTTCTTAATGGAAGGACACGTATCCTCACCAGCTCTACATGGAGTAAGAATAAGAATAACTTTTGCTCACTTCAGGAGAGGCATCTGTAACCGTTGGGAAAGGCTGACCTAAAATAGCAGATGGAAGGGAGGTGGAAAATAAAAGGGAGATAGCGAAAAAGAAAAAAATAGGAATATCTAAAGCGACCCAGGACACTGAGTGCTCCTAGCTTGGTAATGAGAAAGTAACCATGATACGTTCTTTGCAACCCTCATCCTTGTCACATTTGACAACATGTCACATTGTCTTATTTGCCACACTAACTCGGGACCTATTTATATCTCCCAAAGCATGGAAAAATCAGCCATTTCCTCTCCTTCTGGTAAGTTCAACCACAAGTAATGACAGGAAAGGATGTTGCATTGAAAAAAAAAGATGTAGAAACCGCTACTGCCTTTTAAACAGCTTTTGAAACTGAGAGTCTGGATGCCTCTAAAATAAATTGGCGGCCCACGTAAGAATGAAAAGAACTTGTGTCTGGTTTTTATAGCTTCCTCTAATCAGTGAAGAGATTGGAAACCAACTACTACCCTCTATTCATTTCCCTTAATAAAAACCAAAAGCTAAATTATGTTCACTGTGGCAAGTTTTGAAGATCTGCAGACTTAGCTAAATAGAGCGAAGTCTGTTCCAGAAGTGCATCAGAAGTAAGAGATTTATTGCTACCTGGCTGGTGAGATGCCTTACAGACTTGGGGGCGGTGGGGGGGGGGCATGAATTATGGACAACTGAAAAGCAGGAAGCAGAAAATAAACACGACGGAGATAAAAAAAATCAATCCATCCATCAATCAAAAATAGAGCTGGAAGGGACCTTGGAGGTCATCTAGTCCAGGGCTTTTCAACCTTTTCACCCATTGTACCACTTTTAGGATACGGCAATATCCGAGTACCACCAGTCACCTAGCAAGGTGTCAAAAACTTGATGACCCCTTCCAAAAAAAGAAAAAAAGTGATAAAGTACAGGTAGTCCTCGACTTACAACAGTTCGTTTAGTGACTGTTCGAAGTTACAACGGCACTGAAAAAAGTGCCCCCCAAGGCACAGCCGAGCAAGACACCTGCCTGACTGCCCGGCGGCGCTCTTCCTCCTGTCCGAGGTTTTCATTGTTGTGAGCATTTCTGTTGAGGATTGGCAGCGGGGGTGGGGTGGGGGGGATGTTTGGTTTTTATTGCCCCCCGTCTGCTGGGTGGTTGCAGCAGGTTTTGGTCACTTCACATGACCCTGGGACACTGGGACCGTCATAAATATGAATCAGTTGCCAAGGGTCTGAATGTAAATCACAAGACCCTGGAGAGGCTGCAACATTCCAGCTGATCGGCGCTTCTTCTGGGCTCAGCAGAAGTGCCAGGATCAGTGCTGCTTTCCAGCTGGAGCCTGGCGCGGATCCTGGCGCTTCCACTGAGCCCTGACAGTCCCGAAGAAGCGCCGATCAGCTGGAAAGCGGCACTGATCCTGGCGCTTCCACTGAGCCCTGACAGCCCTGCAGTTCCAGCCGTCTCTCGCTCAGGTTTGTGCGGTGCTGCCACCGGTTCAGCTCATTCCCCTCCTCCGCTACCCCTTCTAGGATGGCCGCGTACCACCTGCCAGGTGCCAATGTACCACAGGTGGTACCCGTAGCACTGGTTGAAAAGCCCTAAATTCTAGTCCAACACCCTGCTCATTTCTCCAGATTTTTCAACTGTTTTCCATGAATCAATTTCCATGAGGATATCACCTGACTTGGTGCTACATTTTGCAACTTCTTCAAAAAACGCTTTCGTTCTTTGGGCAACTTCATTTCTTCCGCCTTCTTTTCACGAGCATCAGCAATCCTTGACTTACAACAGTTCATTTACTGACCAAAGTTGCAGTGATACTGAAAAAAAGCGACTTAACGACCATTTTTCACACTTACGACCGTTGCGGCATCCCCAGGGTCACGTGATCAAAATTCAGACGCATTGCCAATGACTCGTACTTATGACCGTTGCACTGCCCTGCGGTCGTGTGATCCTCTTTTTGCGACCTTCTGACGAGCAAAGCCAGTGAGGGAGCCAGAGTCACTTAACAACGGTGTTACTGACTTAACCACTAAAGTGATTCACTCCACAACGGCGGCAAGAAAGGTCGCAAACGGGGGCAAAAATAACAACTATTTCACCTTAGCAACAGAAATGTCAGGCTCAGTTGCGGTCGTAACTCGAGGACTACCTGTATTCATCCAGGGATTTCTGGCCGACATTTCTCTCCCTGTCTTCATCTCTTACACCAGGGGTCTTCAAACTTGGCCCTTTTACGACGTGGGCTTCAACTCCCAGAATTCCTCAGCCTGCGTGCAGGCTGAGGAATTCTGGGAGTTGAAGTCCACAAGTCGTAAAAGGGCCAAGTTTGAAGACCCCTGCTTGTGGACTTCAACTCCCAGAATTCCTCAGCCTGCGTGCCTGGCTGAGGAATTCTGGGAATTGAAGTCCACAAGTCGTAAAAGAGCCAAGTTTGAAGACCCCTGTCTTACACAAACATACACAAATACACACACTTTTTAGAGAGAATTTCCAATCTTGAGGTGCTTAAGCCCACAATCCTGTAACCGCCTGCCTCTTATGAGAGCTACGGAATGCTGTGAGACATTTTGTGACCACTTCTATACGGGGTTGTCCTACAAAGCCCGAAAAGGCAACACAACCACATACCTGGTGAGCTAATATATAGATATTATGCCCAACATCTTTTGGTGAAATACTCTCTTCGCCGTTCTCCTCTTCCTGATCGCTCTCCACCCCCTGGTTGTATGCGTTCTTCATCACGTCCACCTGGAAAACAGATTTCTTTGATTACTGTATTAAATTGACTGAGCTCTAAGCAGTGGTGGGATTCAAATAGGTGAACAACCGGTTCTCTGTGTGGATGCCGCTTCCGGAAGTCCGTTCTGGGCCTGGGCAACAAAAAATTAGCTACTGGTTCTGCCGAAGTGGTGTGAACTGGCTGAATCGCACCACTGCATGAATGGATGGATGGATGGATGGATGGATGGATGGATGATAGATAGATAGAGATAGAGAGGCAGGCAGGCAGGCAGGCAGAAATGGATGATAGACAGACAGACATGGATGCAGTGGTGGGATTCAAATATGTGAACAACCAGTTCTGTGTGTGGATGCCGCTTCTGGAAGTCCATTCTGGGCCTGAGCCAGATTCACTTAACAACCGGGTTGTTAACAAGCGTAGTGCTTCACTTAACAAGTGTGGTGGGAAAAGTCGTAAAATGAGGCAAAATTCACTTAACACATGTCTCGCTTAGCCACAAAAAAATTTGGGCCCAGCTGTGGTTGTAAGTCAAGGACCACCTGTATCCTAGTCACTGTGAGGGTCAAAACCACCTTGCTAGCTGAAAAATTCAATTTTTATTTTTATATGTATATATATATATTTGGCTGTGTTCAGTTATAAAACCAGGTGAAAAGATACTTACCAGCTCTTTTGGTCTCATGTTGAAAAGGACTCTTTCTGCATTTTCGCTGTCGTGCCTGCTTTCCATGATCGCCAGCAAAAGCTTAGAGGCATTATTCTAAAAAAACATCAAGCCAAATGGAGAGGCTGCTAAATAAAAATCTATTTCGTGGATTGATAACCCTTATTTTTCCTTTAACTGAAGTTGCAGGCACAGAGTTCCTTATCAGACAAGGTTTTTAAATGCCTCGAATCTTTTTGTGGATTTGTGGTCATCGTTTTACATAATGGCTTTAAACACCATATTACAGAACTAATTAAAAATATCATCAGTACCAGAAGGGAGTGGACTTTGCAGAGAGGAGGAGGAGGAGGAGGAGGAGGAGGAGGAGGACGACGACGACGACGACGACGACAACGACGACGACGACTGTGGGGTCCTTGGTACTCTCTGAGCTTGGTGGTTTTCTTGCAGACGTTTCATTACCCAAACTAGGTAACATCATCAGTGCACCACAAACATCTGCAAGAAATCCACCAAGCTCAGAGAGCACCAAGGACCCCTCATTTCAACCCTGAGCTACAAATATTCTCCTTTACTGGCGTACAGAATATAAGTTCAGATCTTGTCTCTCTCGTTAGGACCAGCACAGCAGCAATTAAGGCAGCTGACCTGACTCTCCCAAGAGTAGACAAGGGCTGTGCACTTCTTCTCCTGACCATGGATGAGATATTTCTGTCCTTCTTACATCCATCTCCAATTGCAACTGTCATGGTTCCGACAGATGAAACTCTTCAAAGAACTTCCAGGCATTGTTTACCTTAAAGAATCTTTATTTGAGTAGCATAGCATCTCCCCTGAGCACATAGTATCAAAGCACAATTCCCTCCTCCAATTAACAGTCATAAATCACATTCTCCAATTAGTCTGAAATGCAGGCTCTCCCTCCAGCTCTCCAGCCACCAATTCTTATCATCTCTTATTTCAATAACCTTGGTTCTCACACTAGGTCCAGTATTGTTACGTCTAACTAAACTCTCATGCACATTCCTCCCCCCAGCATCACCTAACTCTAAAAGTAAAACATGAAGAAAATGGTTGCATCTCTAACTGTTGTCAAAGCAAAAACATCCGATGTTAGCAGCGTCGACAGCAACAGTGGGAGCCCAATGAGGTCAAGGAGATGGGGACAATGTACACGTGGCAGAATTCCATACCTTCAACTGTAGCACCAGGTCCATCCGATATTTCCCAAGAGGATTGATATCATTTAGGATAAGGGCAATGATTATGTCAATGCCGTTGGACTCATGGGTGGCTATGCAGGTCTGCAAAAGGCAAATAAAGAAATAAATTTAAAATAACAACACGTTGCATAAGAGATTGTTCCCTTCCCCCTTTCTCTGAAAGATGAATAATATCCTAAAGCAGTGGTGGCGAACCTATGGCACGGGTGCCAGAGGCGGCACTCAGAGCCCTCTCTGTAGGCACGTGCGCCGTCGCCCCAGTCCTAGGCCTTCAGCTGGGTTTTATAAAACCTTTTCGCTTTAGGCCTCCTCCGCCATGTACAAAAAAAAAAAAAGGTTCAATCAATTTCAACTTCTCGCGGGGAAAAAAAAGATCTTGCAAAGTTGGAATTGATTGATTGAACTTTTTAGTCCCACCCAGTCTGCTGTTACCACCGCAGCCACGCCCACCCAATGGGCCACACCCACCCAATGGGCCATGCCCACCCAATGGGCCACACCCACCCAATGGGCCACGCCCACCCAATGGGCCACACCCACCCGGCACCCGACGATGCGTAAGTGGGTTTTGGGTTGCAGTTTGGGCATTCGGTCTCTAAAAGGTTCACCATCACTGGTATAGGGTTTCCTGCCTGAGCAGGTCCCTTACAACTTTATTATTATTATTATTATTATTATTATTATTATTATTAATGAGGGATTTTTGAAACAAAGAAAGAAAATCTGAGTTCACATTCAGTTAAGATTTTTCTCTGGAGGCTAAACCTACCTGATTTTCATGGCAGGGGCCTTGACAGTACTCCGTCAAGCTTTCAAGGGTTTGATTCACCAAAGCTACGTTTTTTTCTTTGATGTATAGGCCCAGAAGTCCTAGCCCGCCTGTGGTACTTCCGCAAATACAATCCAAAAACTGAAGGGTCTCACATACGAGGTTGTAGTTGGTCTTGTTGTTCTGGTTTCTTAAAAAGTTCTGGAAAAAGGAGAAAACAAACAACTCCACAAACTGGGGGAAAATAGGTAATGGTTCGAATGAGAGGTAACGCTAAGCCAGGGTTGGAAGACTTAACTGTTGGGATTTGGTGTGATTCTTGAGTGTACGTATCCTTCTTTTAATTCAGTTTGAAAAAAGAATCAAAGTCATGGTCTAGCATGGATTTTTAAAGTGTGGCTTATAGTGTGGCTATTTAACATTGTATCGTGATCGACATAAATTTAATGATTAGACTTGTGCCCAATTCACAGCATGATATATAGTTAAATAGCTGAACAAATAATGAACAAAAATAGATAAATTGCTCTAAACCATGACTGGCAGATTATACCATTATAAACTCAATTCAAGGCTCTAAAACAGAGGTCTTCAAACTTGGCCCTTTTATGACTTGTGGACTTCAACTCTCAGAATTCCTCAGCCGGACACGCTGGCTGAGGAATTCTGGGAGTTGAAGTCCACAAGTCATGAAAAGGGCCAGGCTTGAAGACCCCTGCTCTAAAACATGGTTATTGGAAGTCCACCCAGTATTAATTAGATCAGTATTATAAAATATTTAAATACGTGTGGTATTCGAGGTGTGGTCATACTAAGGTTTTATAAAGCGGTACTAATACGTCACGTGATTTTGATTCTATGCCTCTGTTTGTAGAACCCAAGATTGTATTAGCTTTAACTCTAAAATAGACTATAATAACAGCCCACCTGAAGTTCTCGATTGTGATTCTCACACAGTAATTGGAGAAACCTCAGGATGGGTTGCATGATCACAATGGCGGGACTCATGGTCATTTCTTCGGAAGATTTTTCGTCCGCGCATCCCGCATCTGACCCTGGACCCATGAGGTCGGTTTCCGGGTCCATTTCTCTGCGATACACGCAGTAAGCTTTGGATGTTGCAGTGGAAGCTTCCGCCAATTGTCCTTTCATTCCTTCCTTCAGATGCAGGTTGGAATCCCTCACTGTAGATAAGTGAAAAGAAACACGATTGCAATTAAATATATACTGTAAGGAGCAGGATGGGGCTTTGTCTGTCGATCCTTTGAGTCCATGCTGACTCCTGGTGACTTGGAGTCACCAGGAGTGACTTGGAGTCACCAGGAGTGACTCCAAGTTTTTTATGCGGTTTTTATGACACTATGAAAACAGTTGGGTGTGGTTGGCTAGGTGGTTTGTTGGGGTGTATATTTTGTGTTTTTGAGTTCTTTTTGTCAAGGTTATTGTTGCTTTTTCTTTCTATAAGGTACAAGGCATCTTGGTTGAGCTGGACGGCCATATAAATGTTATCAATCAATAAATATTCTAACTAACACCTATGATGTTACCACCTCCCCATAGCCCTCCAACCAGTGGTGGGATTCAGCCGGTTCGCACCACTTTGGCAGAACCGATAGCTAATTTTTTGTTGCCCAGGCCCAGAATGGACTTCCGGAAGCGGCATCCACACAGAGAACCGGTTGTTCACTTATATTTGCATCCCACCACTGTCTCCAACCCCCCAACTCCTATGCTTCCAGGAATGAAGATCTGGTGGTTTGATTCAATTGATGAATATGCACTTCATATACTGTAGGAGAAGGACAGGCAGAGCTTGGGGTCAGTGTCAAGAAAGGAATCAGCCTAGAGTCATTATGTTGCCACAAACGATCTAAGTTCAACCCTCTTGAATTCCATTGACTCTTATGGAGTGACAATTCAGTGCTGACAGTTAGCTGACCAGATACTCGTGTATAGGCTTATTGAGAAATAAATTGTCTCCACCGGAACTTAACCTGTGATCCTGATTCTTTGTGCCTGACACATACTTACTTCACACAGTCTCAAAACAATTGTTGGTGGCACCGTCTCCGTGCCCATAAATCCTGGGAGAGGTAAGTGCCGTTTGAGGTTATGACAGATAAATGCTACTTTCATGCTTCAAATAAACCTTTTTGAGATCAAATCAAAATTCACCGCTCAACCCTTATAGCTCACCGTGGCTGTCTTACATCAATCATGGCGCCAACGACTTGAGCGGTTAAAAAAGTTGGCGTCTCACAGATCGCGTTTATTCCAGGAAAATATTCCGTAACAATTTTTATCCCTTATTTGTAATAATGACAACTAATTGTATTGAATAAATATAGGTAGTCCTCGACTTACAACAGTTCATTTGGTGACCGTTCAAAGTTACAATGGCAATGGAAAACGTGGCTTATGACCATTTTTCACACTTATGACTGTTCAGCATCCCTATGATCACGTGATCAAAATTCAGACGCTTGGCCACTGACTTGTATTTATGGCGGTTGCAGCGTCCCGGGGTCATGTGATCCCCTTTTGTGGTCTTCTGCCAAGCAAAGACAATGGGGAAGCCGGATTCACTTAACAACCGCATTGCTAACTTAACTGCTTCAGTGATTCACTTAACAGCAGTGGCAATACAGGTCGTAAAATGGGGCAAAACTCAGTTAACAAGTTTCTCACTCAGCAGCTAAAATGTTGGGTTCAGTTGTGGCCATAAGTCGAGGACTACATATAGATAAAGGAATAATCAAAATAATAAATGAATAAACTTAGCTGTTTGTGTTTTTTAAATTACTGATTGTGTTTTATTTTGTTCCTATTTATTTTTACTGTTAGCTGCTTAGAGTCATGTATATAATATTAATAATAATAATAATAATAATAATAATAATAATAATAATAATAATAATAATAATAAAAATAAAAAATAAAAAATAAAAAATAAAAGTTGGAAGGGATCTTGGAGGTCATCTAGTCCAACCCCCTGCTCAGGCAGGAAACCCTATACCAGGGGTAGGCAACCTCAGCTCTTTTATGACTCATGGACTCAGCTATGCTGACTCAGGAATTCTGGGAATTGGTCCATGAGTCATAAAAGAGCCGAGGTTGCCTACCCCTGACCTATACCATTTTGGACAAATGGCTGTCCAGTCTCTTCTTCAAAACTTTCAGTGTTGGAGCATTCACAGCTTCTGGAGGCAGGTTGTTCCACTAGTTAATTGTTCTCACTGTCAGGAAATTTCTCCTTAGTTCTAGGTTGCTTCTCTCCTTGATTAGTTTCCATCCGCTGCTTCTAGTCCTGCCTTCAGGAGCTTTGGAGAATAGCTTGACTCCCTCTTCTTTGTGGCAGCCCCTGAGATACTGGAGCACAGCTATCATGTCCCCCTTTGTCCTTCTCTTCATTAAACTACTAGACATACCCAATTCCAGCAACCGTTCCTTATATGTTTTAGCCTCCAGTCCCCTGATCATCTTTGTTGTTCTTCTCTGTAATCTTTCTAGTGTCTCAGCAGCTTTCTAGAGTCTCAACATATGAGAAGGGCAGCCATATAAATTTATGGAAAAATGAACAAATGAATTCTATAACAGCAGAATTGTACTTCGATGTATGTCATTTTACGTAGGCTATCTTGAATTTCTAAGAAGCACAATAGTGATTTAGGAAAACCTTGATTTATTAATTAGGTTTTTGTTTTGTTTTTTGCTCAGGTAGTATCAATGTGGGCCACGCTAAATACACAAGTGCTCTTATTCCTATTTCATTATTTTTTTTTTAACCAAAATCTCTTTTTCTCCTGACTGCACTGAAACCAACCTAAGGAAAGAAATACCCCCCCTCTTTTATTTTTCTTTTTTCTGGTTACCTCTCTTCTTGGGAGCTGACAAGGTCACGTCTGTTTCCTCGTCCTTCTTTTTGCTGCTCAAATCAATTGTGTTTACCGTCACCGTGGACCGAATTTCCTGCTGGGCTGTTTTCATCCGATCGTACAAAACTTTAAAAAACTTTTCGGATTTTTTCCGTTCGTTTAATTGTTGATAAAAAGAATACTAAAAGAGAGAGAAAAAATTACAACGGAAAAAAAGGTATGGGGCCATCACTAAAGGACTCAGTAACTGTTATAAGTTAAGGACTCCCTGTACCTGGGCATAGTTCTCTGTTGAAAACCCTGTTACACAAATAACACACTACATTCTTACAAAAGTCAGCTAGGGGACAGTTCCCTGTGGCTTATATATAAAATACCATTAGAATACCTGCTGTAATATTTTTAGTTACTTTTCCTAATAATTCTCAACCCTGGTGCTGTTTTCTTTCCTTGCCTTAGAAAATTCGAGGGTTAAATTAACTGGAAGATTATTTTTTTTTAATTGAAAATTTTATAAAATTTTACAATATAAATCCCCCCCTTCCCCAAACCCACCCTTCCACTCCCCCCTCCCTCCCCCCTCACTTCCCAGAGCCAATCACAGGGTTGACAATAAAATAATCATACTCTAACTAACATTAATCAACTATTAAAATAACATATCTATAACCTCCTTTAACTCTCTTTTAGACAAATATACAGTTATTAAAGACAATAATAACATCACTTTAATCATTAAAAATAGTACTAAGTAAACTATGCTGACCTTTATACAACAATAATACTCTAAAATTCACTCAAAAACCAAATGATATTTTTTGGTCCCATATTTACGCTCAATATAATCTATCCATTTCTCCAAACTAAAATATATCTTTCTTGTGAATAGTCCTTCACATAAGCGGAGATCTTGGCCATTTCTGCTAAGTTCGAGACTTTGAGTGACCATTCTTCTATAGTGGGCAGACGTTCCGTTTTCCAATATTGAGCTACTAATAGTCTTGCAGCAGTTATAAAATTCAACATCAATTCCATTTCTTTTGCATCCAAGTCTTCCATAATACCCAACAAAAATATCTGCGGTTTAAACTTTATCTTTTTCTTAAAAATATTTTGAATATTCCACCATATCTTAATCCAAAATGCTTTGACTTCCCTACATGTCCACCAAATATGAAAATAAGTTGCATCTAAATTTCCACATCTCCAACACTTAGGTTGTACATTGGGGTACATACAAGACCATTTTTGAGGATCCAGATGCCACCTATAACACCTTAACTGGAAGATATTAAGGTAGGACTAGCACTTTGGAAGTGGTTTTCATCTGTGGATTGTGTTCCATATTAACCAATATCCGAACTAACAAATCACCCTCCCAAATGTACCTGAATTTGGGTGTTTCCTCCTTCGAGCAACGCAATGCCAAGCAAGATGGCCTCAGAGAATATCCGGTCGTTTTTGGTACTAACAATGACATCGGTGACCAGTTCTGAAGCTCCTTCTTTATCCAAAAGACATTGGATGTCATGCATGGAGGCTCCAGCCTTGTCCACATCTTGTCCCGAAAAGGTCCCTGAAATTAATGGATTTAATTGACCAGTTCATTGGGACATTAAGACGTTTTTGAAAGAAAAGAGAAAGACTTATTCTTAAAATTTCAGTTAAGGATTATCTCATTTTTTCTCCCCTTATCTCTTATCTTCTAATGCCTTTCCTTGTCTTGTCTTGACTTGTCTTGCCTTGCCTTATCTTATCCCTTCTTCCTCCCTTCCCTTCCTTCTCCCTTCCTTTCCCTTCCTCCTCCATTCCCTTCCTTTTCCTTTCCTTCCTTCTCTTCCTTCTCCCCTTTCCTTCCTCCTCCATTTCCTTTCCTTTCTTTTCCCTTCCCTTCCCTTCCTCACTTCTCTTCCCATCCCATCCCATCCCATCCCGTTCCATCCTATGCTATCTTAAAAAAAAATCAGATTTATAGAGAAAAGAAAGAGCTGGAGCAATACTCTGATATATATTCTTCACTCTGTAATATGCTCAAAGAATAGAATTAAACCATAAACAGGGATGCGATTCAGTGATGTTAAGCCCAGGGGTCCAGACAGTGGTGGGATTCAAATAAGCGAACAACCGGTTCTCTGTGTGGATGCCGCTTCCGGAAGTCCATTCTGGGCCCGGGCACCAAAAAAATGAGCTACCGGTTCTGCCGAAGTGGTGCGAACCGTCCGAATCCCACCACTGGGTCCAGCTCAGTGAGATTTAAATGTGTCTCCCTGTCTGTTGAACTGAGAGGTGAAAAAGAATTATAGCGCAAGATTGCATCCAGCCAGACCAGGCTAAAACGTCTAGATCAGCAAATATTGGGCACGATCCAAGTATCTAAATGTGACTTAGAAGCTGTTATTTTTATCAAAAGGAAGTTATATCCTGAGTTCCACTCATTCCACTACATCAGAAGCAGAGGGGAAATAATTGAGAATGTGCTTGAACAAATAATATTTTTCTAGGGGGGGGGGATCTTGTATTTATTTATTTATTTACTTATTAACTCACTGATTGATTGATTTAGTTGAGTCGTATTCTGCCCTTATTATAAATAACTCGACAGGGCAAATATATCTAACACAGCCTCCTATTTTCCCCACAATAACAATCCTGTGAGAGGTGAGTTGAGCTGAGAGAGAGGGATTGGCCTAAAGCAGGGGTATGGCTCTTTTATGACTCGTGGACTTCAACTCCCAGAATTCCTGAGACAGCCACGCTGAGGGGAAAGGGAGAGGTTTCCAAGCTGAGCCATGCTGGCTCAGGAATTCTGGGAGTTGAAGTCCACGAGTCATAAAAGAGCCAAGGTTGCCTACCCCTGGCCTAAAGTCACTCAGCTGGCTTGCAGGCCTAAGGCAGAACTAGAATTCACCATCTCCTGGTGATTGGCCCAAAGTCACCCAGTCACTTTCATGCCTAAGGCAGAACTAGAATTCACCATCTCCTGGTGACTGGCCCAATGTCACCCAGCTAGTTTTCACAGCTAGGACTAGAATTCACCATCTCCTCGTGATTGGCCCAAAGTCACCCAGTCACTTTCATGCCTAAGGCGGAACTAGAACTCACCATCTCCTGGTGATTGGCCCAATGTCACCCAGCTAGCTTTCACAGCTAGGACTAGAATTCACCATCTCCTGATGATTGGCCCAAAGTCACCCAGTCACTTTCATGCATAAGGCAGGACTAGAATTCACCATCTCCTGGTGATTGGCCCAAAGTCACCCATTCACTTTCATGCCTAAGGCGGAACTAGAACTCACCATCTCCTGGTGATTGGCCCAAAGTCACCCAGCTAGCTTTCACAGCTAGGACTAGAATTCACCATCTCCTGGTGATTGGCCCAAAGTCACCCAGTCACTTTCATGCCTAAGGTGGGACTACAACTCACAGTCCCCTGGTTTGTAGCCTGGTGCTTTAGCTATCAGACCAAATTACGGTAACTCTCTATTCACACGAATATATTCACATGAACTACACTAGTAAAAAAATAAAAACAAGAGGAGCTGTTCTGAAGCCAGAATGTTTTAAATCCTAGTTACCTCCACTTTGCAGGGGTTTGCCGTAGTTGCCAGACAGAGGACCGTTGATGCTCCCTCCATAGTCTCCTTTAAAATAACAATTGAGAAGTATTTTTCGCAGGTTGCTGCCCTTTAATAACATCAAAACAGAGGGTAAGAATTAAAGAGGGAGGCAAATGTATTCCTAGATATTTTATTTTCAAGTCTGCAGCGCATTGCAAAACACTACTCATCTATTGATAGTGGTGAAAGAAAGTGCATTTTTCTAGGTTTACGTGGCCAGGCTCCACAGATGCAGCATAACCCAGAAAAGATTGCGTAGGACAGTGGTTCTCAACCTTTTTAATGCCGCGACCCCAACCGATCGTAAGTCGAGGACTAAACCAGTCGTAAGTCGAGGACTAAACCGGTCGTAAGTCGAGGACTAAACCGGTCATAAGTCGAGGACTACCCAACCGGTCGTAAGTCGAGGACTTTCCCTGCCCGGGAGC